GGCCCGGGGCTCCGGGGAGGTCGGGTCGCCGCGCGGGGCACCGGCCCCTCCGCCCCCCACTCCCCCAGACCTGTGCTCCCGGAAGGGAGCCGCCGGCTGCTCCGGGGTCCGCGGGGGGGGGGGGGGAGCTCGCCGGGCGGCGCGGGCGGGGCCCCGGTGGCGCGCCCGCCTCCCCCTTCGGCTCGCGCGCGGGAAGCGGCGGCTCTTCCCCGGGACTCCGGGCGCTCCTCGCGCGGCCCTCGCCGGCTTTGCCTCGGGGGCCCTCTAGCCTTGTCCGCCGGAGTTCTCCACCGACCGCTCGGGGACACTTCCCGCCGGCGACGCCCGAGCGCCCCCTGAGGGTCCGGCCGCCGGAGCTGCGGGGTCCCGGCCCTGCTCGCCGCCCCCGACCCTCGAGGCTCTCCCGCCGGCCTGCCTCCTCCCAGCCTCCGGCCTCGACGCGGGGGTGCGGACCTGGTCCCGTCTGCGCCCCCCAACACCCCCGGAAGGAGTGCGGTCCTCCGAGGCCCCGCCGCCGGCCATGGCCTTCACTTTCGCCGCTTTCTGCTACATGCTGTCCCTGGTGCTGTGCGCCGCGCTCATCTTCTTCGCCATCTGGCACGTGAGTAACCGGCCGCGGCTTCTAACTCTTGCCGTGCGCCCCTTCCCGGCTTCTCTGAGGCAGGGGACAGGTGGCGGCATCCCGAGCCGGCGGCCCCGCGCTCCCTCGGAGCCCGGCTGCTGGCGGGGGGAGCGCAGGTTCCCGGGCGAGCCCCCCACCAGCCCCGGTGCGGGGCCCGGGGCGCGCGGCTGCAACCCCCCGCCCAGCCGGCTCCTCCCTGTCCGCAGTTGCGGGCCCGGCGGTTAGTCTAGTAACTATAACAACTAACCCGGAGCGTGTCAGCGTCTGGCCGAGGCACGTTTGGAGACCAAGTGGGAGAGGGCGCGCGGCGAGCCGGGCCCGGAGGGCAGGGGGCCGGAGGTGGAGGTCGCCTGTCCCGCGGCGAGTCTCCCCGTCCTCCGCTGCCACCAGCCCCTGCAAGACCCCAGCAGGTGGCAGACTGTCGGCGCCGGCGTCCCGCCGCCCTCCCCGGGCTACGCGGGCTGGGGGCCGTGGAGGTGGGCCGCGGGTCTGCAGGCGCGCTGTGGGTCCCGGGCGTGGAGCGCTTCTGCGTGGGGGCCGGGGGAGGCCGCAGCGCGGAGACCAAGCGGCGCTTGGCAAGCCCACCGCCCTCAAGGCCCCCTGCCCTCCCGCGCGGGGGGCCGGTGGGGAGGGGAATGGTGAGGTCGCCAGTTCCGGACGGAGCCCGCGGCGCGCAGCCTCCCGGCCCAGCGAGCCCGGAGGCGGGGAGGGACCCTGGGATGGATTCCCGGAGGCTCGTCTCTGGCGAGCCCTGCGGAGCGCGCCTGCAGGGGCAGGTGCCGGGGAAGCAGACCAGAAGGGTTGCGGGGTGGGTGGGATGCTGGTGTTTCGTAGGAGAGGTTTCTAGAGCGTGAGACTAGGCTAGCGCAGCCCCTGGTACAGGCTCTCTGAGAGCGAGGACAGAGACCGGGCGGCAGGGAAGACGCTTGCTGGGCTTCCTTCCACAGCCCCAAAGTGAGAGTTGACCTGGGTGGTCCCCAGGCCTCCCCTTGCGTCTGGATGGTGCAAGTCTGTGCATCAGTCGGTTTAGGAATCTAGGGGGAGGTGGGGGTGAGGTGGGGTGGGGGGAGAAGGAATTCAGACACAGGAATTTCAGGGCGGATCAAAAATCCTGCGGTGGGAAGTGATGGCATTTTGTGGCCTCTCCTCTGCCCCAGGATCCCAGGTCGAATCCTCGCTACAGCATTGAGTCTAGAAGTTGTTGACGGTGATTAGGGGAGAATGAAACTTTACCTAATTTAGAACGAAAAGGGGCGCAGGGCAGATCACGCCCCAACAGGGCAGCACATACGCGCTCATGTCTTCAAGGGAGTTCTCTCTGCTTCCTTGGATTTGGGGAGCTTCCTTGCATTTCAGAAGGCTCATGATTCCCTTTTTTCAGACACTTCACTTGCTGTTTCTTCGTGTCTTTGCCTTGGCCAGAGGGTGGCAGGAACCAGGGACTCCATCAAAGTGCCAGGATTGGAGTTGTCTGAACAAGCCTCTGAAGCAGAGCGGGTAACCAGCAAGAATAATTTGCTGTCACTCAGGGGAAGATAATAAATAATTCAAGAGCAGGTTAATTAAATGGATGGTGGGTGCCGCTCGTTGACTAACAGATGTGTGAATCAAAGCCAGGCGTGCCGTGATCCCCCATCGGCCCCGCCAGCCGGGTCCCCAGCGCCCACCCCCTTGGCCAGGGGTAGTCGAATGCTGTCAGGTCCCGACCAGATTCCCAGTGGGAGTGCTGAGATTCCAGTTTCTAATAATGAAAGGAATCTGTGCTGTTTGAATCCACATTAGAGGAAGCGTTCCTGAGTCTCTAGCCTCTTGTTTCCTTCGTCTGTTCCTTCTCCCTTCCTCCGGATCAAACAGCCCAGAGCCTCCCCTCACTGATCGGGCTGCTGAACACTGAAAGGGGAAATCGATGCACATGTTGTGTGTGTGGGTGTTGCTTATACGGTGGTAATTACTTCAAGGGAAATTTAGGAGAGGGAGTTCTGGGTTGGGCGGTGGTTTGCTTTCTTTCTGGCTTCTTCCTCAGATATTTTTTGATCTGATACGGCGTCTCGATCGCTTAGCCTATGTGAACATCCCCAGGAATGAATTGGGCACTTAACATACACCGCAGCTGGGGACATGCCCCGTTGCCGGGTCTAGGCCGTAAGTCACGAAGACGGCACTTTCTTCTTGTCAATGGTACACACCTGCTTAGGGGTCATGATGGTAGCTACTGGCATTGAGTGTGGACAGCAGGCCGGTTCTAGGCACCGACTGTTTACTTCCCACCGGAGGCCTGGGAGAAAGGGTGGCTGTGGCCATAAGCGTATCGCTTTCAAGTCTCACGTTTCACTTTGAAAATTTATTTGCGTTTGTTTTCATGTGAAAATATTTTGAATTACCGGTTAATTTTACATCAGCCGCTATTTGCCACATTTGGAATGTACAGAATGTGAGGGTTTGTTTTCCGGCGTGTTTGTGTGTGTGTGGCTTTGCATGCCTGTGGGCACATGGGCTCTTTCTGCCCCGGAAGCCCTTTACCCCTCACAGCGGACATCTTATGGGCCAGGGAACTGTGGATCAGAGAGGTTATGAAACTTGCACAGCTGCTGTGTGTCAGAACTGGGACTGCAGCTGAGTCCGAGCCTGGTGTGCCCGTGTCTTTTTTCCAGCTGTGGTTATTATCTTGGGCGTGTTTAACTTTGATAATAGTGGATCACGCTCTTACCCAGAGGATTACGTTTCTCTGCATAAATAAGATATCTGGAGCTGGAACTTCTGGTTGGAATCATAATCACAGAGACACCTAACATGTGTCCCTTTTAAGAGGAGGAGATTCTGTTTCGTTTTGTAAAAAAAAAAAAAAAAAAAAAAAAAAAAAAATCAGTGTTTCTGCTCATAAAACGATACAGGCTCCTTGTGGAAAATTTCGAAAATACAGGGACATCTATAGAACAAGATCACCGTTAACCTTATTCTCCAGAAAAGATTTGGGTGTTTCTTCTTTCAAACATCGTGTGTTTTAAAAAATTGCCTCTGGATGTTTAGAAGGAAGCAGAGGTGTTGTGAAGGGTTTCGGATGTGGACTGATGTCCGTTTCCAGCCAGGATAAAATGAGCAGCGTTTACTGGCACCAGGCCTCTCAGCACCAGCTTGGTTGGGCCTTTTGCCGACCGTCACGTTTGTATAAATACAGATGAAATCCGTCTTCGAAAAGATCAAAGTTTCATTTTCAGGGTTGTGGCTTTTAAAGGTTTTTTTTTTTTTTTTATGTTTATTTATTTTTGACAGAGAGCGCGTGAGCCAGTGAGTGGGGGAGGGGCAGAGACAGATGGAAACACAGACCCCGAAGCAGGCTCCGGGCTCCAAGCTGTTAGCACAGAGCCCGACGCGGGGCTCGAACCCACAAGCTGTGAGATCGCCACCTGAGCCGAAGTTGGACACTTAACCGACTGAGCCCCCCAGGCACCCTTAAAATTTTTTAGTACCAAGAGTCACTTTTAAGGACACTTGAGTTTTGACAGCATAGGAATAACAGCATTGACGCCCGATGATACTTGCTCCGGTTCCGGGCAGTGTGTGCCTCGGGAGAGGTTTCACACCCTGACAAAGGATCTCAACTCGTGTTCACCAAGAGGCGGCGTTGCGGGCAGAACGTCCTTGCGCCTGGGCCTTTCAGCCAGTTCCAGCCTTGTCACAGGCCCAGCCCTGGGGACCGAGTAAGCCTCTCAGGGTTTCCAGGCGTCCATCTGGAAACGTGAAGTGGCTTATGTGAAATGGTAGGGCGCCGGGGGCTACACAGCCTGTCTTTTTGAGACCCTGCTTTGGTCTGCTTGGGTAAGGGTGCCTGTTCCGTCTGGGACAGCTCATCCCCTCTCGCGGCCGAGGTCCCTAGCCAGCGGTGTGGACGCCTCTCCAGCCCCCGCCTGGAGGAAGGAAGCTCCGTGAGCACCTGTTCTGGGTCACCGGGTTTCTCCAGAGCCGGGATGTTGCTCGGCAAGTACGAGGGCTCAGCGAACACCCGCAGGATGGCTTCTCCTTCTCCTTGGGCTCCACACGCCTCTGGCCGATGGAGCTCGTTTCTCACGTGGCTTCTGCCCCCGGGTGGTTTGGGCACGTGTGTTTTCTGCCGTCCCAGCACCTGGAAACTTGGGAACCTGTTGTGTTCCAGAAGAAGACTGTCCATCGCCGGCGGTGCAGGGCGCGGGGTGGGGACAGGTGCTGGCTGTTCCCAGAGAGAGTGTCTTCCATCGGGTGTGATGGCTGGGCTGGCTGCCCCTGCAGGGGACAGCCTACAGCGTCATCATGGTGGGTCCCCCACAGTCAGGTGGCAGAGGGGAGGGAGGAGCAGAAGGAGGGGCATGGGCCCCCAGCCTGACTGCTCGATGAGGTTCCCGGCCCGGCTGGGGTGGGATGTTGTGGGTCCACCGTGACGTCTGACTGTGACGTTCGAGTAGCTGAACAAGCAGCAAAGGCAGATACGGTCGTGATCGGAGCATCCTCCTGTCCTGGCCCTGCAGCCGTGCCGGGCCCAGTCCCCTCCTGCACTGCAAGGCCCGTTCACCTGGCTTGACTCCTGTCCGGCACCCGCACCCCTGCCCACGGCCTGCATGGGGTTCTCCGCTGCTGTTCTGGTCTGCAGACTGGCTCCCTCCCCACCCCACGCCCGCTGCCCTGTGGATGTCCGGTCTCCTGTGCCCTGTCGGCCATGCCCTCAGGGGTCCCCGCAGGACCTGGCATCTGTCACAGTCTCGTGCCCTCTCCACGACCCCTGCTTTTCTTGGGGGGGGGGGAGGGGGTTGGGCAGGGCTCTCTTGCGTGCACTCTGCTGCCCTGGTCGTGGCCCCATGTGACTGGGACCATTTCCTGTGCCCCACCCTGTGCCACTGGCCCTCACCCACCTCCAGCCAGCTCTCACCACTGCTCTCGGCCCCTTGTGCTCACGGTCTCCGAGGGACCCGCCAGGGACTCCCCGTCTGCCGTCTGCCCATGCCCAGGGC